GCCGGGCCGGGCCGGGCCAAACCGGTTTATATGTTTTTTTTGTTCTTCTATTTAACCCCCAACGCTTCCCCCTCACCTCCAAACCACCCCAAAACACCTCAAATGGCCAAAATACCTAATGCAACCCAAAATGTACAAAAATTTCAAAAAAAAAAACTAAAATAAAATCCGGCCCGGACCGGGCCCGAACCGGCCGGGCCGGTTCCCCAAAATCAGGGCCCGAGTCCAGAACCGGTACCCACCGGTCCGGTTCGACCCGAACCGCCGGTGGACCGGGCCACCGGGCCGGTTCCGGGTTGGGCCGCCCGGCCCGAGTCCAGGCCTATCTGTGATTCCGTGCCACACTTTTTTATATATGTAAGAACAGTTTCATTCAATTGATCAATATAGATTTACATTCATTTAGAGTATCATACAATGCTTGTTCAGAAATTGGATGTCATTATATGTCATTTTCAAATTCAATGCATATTCCAGGTCATTTGAATTAATTTATTATTTTTGTCCTAAATATTTATTCATTTACGTTGTTAATTTTTTGAAATCGTTTTTGAAGTTGTTGATTAATTAAAAAATATATTTAATTTGAAATGTTAGTGATATTATAATTATTTAATGTGCATATGTTTAAAACTGATCTGAAAACAGGGGCAGATACACACTCAAACTATTGGGGGCACTTGCCCCCAACAAAGTCCAATTTTTTAGCTTTATAAATTATATTTTATTAAATAATTAGAGGTGTGCCCCCAATAAGAAAAAGAAAATGCCCCCAACAAAAAAGAAAGATGCTCTCATAACCCAATTAAATAGACGGATACAGAAAAAAAATAAGAGTGAGAAATTTATTTTTTTATTCTATATATTCAATATTAACTTATACTAGTACATATATAGTAACTTTTATAGTTATGGAAGAAGGCCTAAGACCCACAATAATATTGATTAAAATTCCATATAATACGACACTGAAAAAGCGTGGTACATGTCTTAGTTGTTACTTTACAAAGGTGGTTAATTAATTCAGGAAAAAGTTAGCTATTGATTGTTTACTTTTTCCTCCATTCTTTAGTATAACTTTACTGGGTATGAATTTGTTTTATTTTAAAACTAGTAAATTATTGATTGACATTTTTTATATGTATTGATTTCGTAATACTTGAGTTTATACATTTTCCATGAGTACGTGTGTTGCAATTGAATTAGACTTGAGTTCATCTCAGTTCTTTCTTTTTAGTGTGCAGTTATGTAGTATTTTGATCGATAATACTTTGATAAAAAAAATTGTTTAAGATGATGAATATTGCATTGATCAAATGCTTAGATAAAAATCAATATAACGGTTTAGTTTTAGTTTTGTTTCTCTTAATGTCAGATAAGTATTCTTGGTGTGTAGTGTCTTGAATTATTGTTAATTGTGTATTTACTTTCTTTTAATTTCAAAGATAAATTAAATTTAATGTAATATTTGAACGAATTTTTAAACTACTTGTTTGCATTTTTAAATAATACTATTTGCAATTGATTTAGATTTGTGTTTTTGAAATGAGTTTACAATAAAATAATAGAACAATATATATATATTATTGTTTTAGGAGATATTACCCAAAATGGGACTAAAAAAGTTTGAAAATTCCAAAATAGGACTTCCATGTTTTTATTCCCAAAATAGGACTAATTACTGCCATGTTTTGACAGTAACAGACTTCAAACATGGGAGTATTTTCCAAATTTGGCAGTAATTAGTCCTATTTTGGGAATAAAAACATGGCAGTCCTATTTTGGAATTTTCGAACTTTTTTAGTCTCATTTCGAGAACTTTCCCTTGTTTTAATGCAAAAAAATCCGTCAAAAAAACTAATAAGTAGATTCCAAAATAATGTGTCTCTGCCATTATTATGTGTCATCTAGCGGTGCCCCCAATACCAAACTTTTCTGGATCCGCCACTGTCTGAAAATATATATTAATTTAACATTTTTGTTAATAACCTTGATGGATCGTCGGACCGGGGGTACCGGAATCCACCGGAGTATGAATAAAGTAAGGAGAGTGAACTGATCTGAAAGTGTAGATCGGAAAGTATATTAGCCTTAGTAATGTCGTAGGTTCATCATCCTTTTCCACAAGATTGGAAGGTAATATTTATACTAAAGGAAAAAGGGAAATACTTGGCGGGCAAGTAAAAGATGCTAGTCTAATAAGAGAAGGACACGTGTAAAGTTAATATAACTCATGCTCTTTAGTAGAAAAAAAATAAGCTTTATCTTTTTCAGTTCTATTTTCATTTATATTTGTCATTAGCCGCTCTTATCTTTTACTTTATATGCGGTGTGTCTGATATTTTGGAAGCATAGTTGCTATGAACTTCTTTGGGATGTATTACTGCGTAAGTGCTTTATCATATGTAGTTTCTTATTTGAGCACTACTTATAGACTTGTGGTTCTTTTTTGAAATGAAATAGTGGTTTTTACTCTTAAAAGCACCTGACTTTTTTGCATTTCCTTGCCAAAATTACTTCCTATGTAAGCAAAACCTACTTCTCTTCTCTAATAACTTCTTGAAAAAGAAGTCACCCTAACACATAATAAAGTTAGTTGGCCTATTTCTGTGTGAGCAGTGCTCAACAGAAACTTCAATTCAGTGCCAGTGAAGCTAACCGCGATGCTTGCTCCTGTTTGAAACCGCTTGCTCCTGTTCTAGCATATGAATGGGCTCCAATATATTAGTAGGTAGCAAGCAACTTTAAAAACTACATATAGGATGATTAATCTATTTGGTTATCTATTAGAGTATTGTTACTATTAATTTTGACATTTTTAGAGTATGCATTTAGATTAGGTTTCTTCTGGCTGCTAATTTTTTAAAATGACATGTGAACTATATGGAAGTTCATGGTACACCGAGGAGCATATATTATACTTCGTAACTTTTATTGACAAGCCTTGTAAGTCTACCAACTTTAATTTGGGTTTTATTTTAATGATCATGTCTTTGTCAAATATTCTTACAGAATGAAGACCACATATTGGACCTCGTCAACCGAAAGAGGCTTATCAATGGTATCCAAAAAAAACTGTTTAATTGAGAATGATGAATCAGTCCCTATTTTCCCTATTTGTGCTTTGCTTAAGAGATAATATTTTCTTTATTATCATCCTGCACTTCACTTTGGCACTTGATTTTTAATTATAGATTTTCCTTTTATCCACTAAAAATAATAGATTTCCCTAAATATAGATTTTCTTTAATAATAGATTTTCTTATTTGTGATTTCATCCACTAAAAATAACTTTGACCATGATGCTAATTCTACTTTAGCTCAATAAATTCCATTTGTTTTGCTATAACTTACACGACTCTTTTGCTACTGCTTAGAAGGATGCAATATTATTACTTTAAAATGCTGTCTCCCTCTTAAATTTTAAGAACATTTGTCTTTTCATTGCTTCATGTGCTTCCCTATTTGGTGTTGTTCAAATAGCACTAAAACATGTTAGAGTAGTATAAATTAGATGAGTTTTTTTCTCATCTGTAAATCTAAAATGTTAATCCTTTGAAGTAGAGAGAACATGTGCATGTGGGTCATGATTGATAAACCGAAGAACCGTTTGCAGGTCTTTTATGGAAAAGACGATGCTTATTTTGTTATCGGGGAGCAGCCCATTCTACGGCAAACCAATGACTTTTGAACTGAAGTGACATTCCACTCTCTCCTTCCTCAAACATGGCCGGGGTGGGGCACTGTTGCTCCGTCATTTCAACATGAGATGTGGAGGAGCTGCCGAGCAAGACCCATGCTTATGAAATACGTACTGATGCATAGGTGATGTTGTAAGTCCTTGACTCGCCCCCCGCCGTGCCCTCATTCGGTTTCTGAGATGTTTGTTTAAACTTTCTGCCCCAAACATTCAACCCAAAACGTTAATTGCCCAGTCTGTTGTATTGAACATCATTAAACTGTTTTTTGCCTTCTTTGTGGTGTATTTGCACTTTTTCATTTATGAAACTCAGTTTTCTCGTTTACCCATCATTCTTGACTCACATGACGTTGTCCCCTCATTCACCGAGTGTAATGTTTGCTTGAACTTCCTGCCCTGGAAAACATTAAACACCAAACGCTATTCAATTAATCACTAATGTGTTTTGATGTAACTAAACCTTGTAGGTTCATCCTAAAACTTCCTATCGTGTTTTGCTGCCCAAACTCTTGTATTGACTCTTTTGCAAACAACTTGTCATATATTTGCCTTTTTTTTTTTTGTTTTTTAGCATTTACTTTTCTCATATATATATATATATATATATATATATATATATATATATATATATATATTGTCGGGATGTCGGGATTTTCCCGATCCCGACTTTTTTTTTAAAAAAAATCCCGGTCCCGTCCCGACTTAGTCGGGATCGGGATTGTCGAGATCGGGATTATCGGGACCGGGATTGTCGGGATCGGGATCGGGAGTCGGGAGTCGAGAGTTTTTTCCCAGCCCTATTTAAAATTATATTGTGAAAGGTATTGGACACTATCGCACACGCGCAACGCTCGTTGAAAAACTAGTGGTCTTATAAAAGTGATACAGAATATTATTTTCACTTTTAGGCTTAGTTTTTAAAATTTCCCATTATCATCTGGTAAAAATAATAAAAATACCCCAAACTTTGATGGTGTGTGAAGTAAATACCAAAAACTTGCATATGTAATTTGAATACTCCAAATTTTAAATAAAATTTTATTTTCCCACGATTTTCATGTATTATTTCTTTCAAAAATGTAAATTATGGGGTTAATTGCATAATTTAAAATTGAAAATTAAAATTGTTGCAATTATATAGATTGGAGTTAACTTTATTTATTTTGCAATTAAATTTTATTTATAATGTTAATTATGTCTTCATGAATTCTAAAATATTTTAAATCTAGGATATTTTAAAATATGGGTTATTTTAATTATTTTTCCCTTATTCTTTTCCCTCATTATCTGGGTGCCAAAGCATGTTGTGGTGTGGCATCATCGGCCTATGATCCTATAAAGCGGATCGACTAATTCAATCATCGCAACCCTAAAATAAAGTCCCTTCTATAATGGCTGCATTAGAGGGAGATTCGTTGGAGTCCAGAGTTTCCACACCGGTGGATCCTCCGCCCCAGATGAATCCGAAGACAGCAACAGACGGAGGATCTGACAGTGTCTCCAACAAAGAATCAGATGTACTCTGCGTAGCAGGAAGAAAATTCCGCAAAACCTGCTTCAAAGATAAGGAATTTCAACGACAGTACCTGCTCTTCGAAGACCAATTCGTCCGGAGCGAGGTAAACCCTAACGAATCTATGTGCTTAAGTGTCATTGGAAATCGATGATAAACGGGTTTTTGTTCATCCAGCACTATGGAGATAAAATGCCAAGTCGTTAAATGGTTGCTGGGTCGGTAGCTACTAGGTTTAAGGCCAGTAAGCGGTTAGGGTTCGTTAATCCAATAATAAATACATATCACATGCTTCAAATCTCTGTCTCATAATATTAGTAATATGTGTGTAAAACTAGAACAATTAAGATGTCATAGAAAAGGTTAATTGGGACTAGAGAATGTTGATAAATCATTTTGTAAATGTTTTTCTGCCATCGAGTTTCTTTATGATGCCATGAATTATTCAACGCACTAGTAATACCTTATTAGAGCTGTCAGCCTGTCAAACGGGCCAGCTTGGCCGACCCAACCCGACCCGTAACATGTTTGCTTTATGTGGGATGGGTTGGGCCCACCCGTTTAAAGACAGGTCGAGCCAACCCGTTTAAAGACATGTTGGGCCAACCCGTTTAAAGACGGCTCAAAATTTCCAGTACCCTAACCAACCCACCTAATCCGTGAGTTAAACGGGCTGGCTCCGTGCCACTTTAAAAAAATATGCATGACAAAAGATTCTTTAAAAATAATTGTCTTGGAGTATATACTTATTTATATACTTACTAATACCCAAACCTTTAATACCCAGTACTAATCATTGTTAAACTCTCTTTCTGAATGATGTGTTTAGGGTTTTGAAATAGACTGGGATAAATTTGACTACTTGTTCAGTTGTCTTGATGTGGCTTGGTCGGCACCTCTCGATAAAGACATGACCAATGAGGAGTTGGTCCACAGCCTGACACTCCATGCCATTAAAATGCACAATGAAGAGAATGTGAGTGATTTATATTCTATTCATTATTTGTAATTAATAATTCATAATATCAATAGATTTCCATTGAACATTTATGTTTTTCATCTGTCCTTGAAAATTCTCAAAGGGGAATTCTTGAAAACAGAAACCTTTTATTGATACACACAAAACGTTCGCACATGTATATATTTATATAGTTATTGATAAATGAGCTCCGAGCTCAAAGAGCTGCACAAATCATACTAAATACTACTTACAATAATATCTAACTCAAAAGGAAAGAGAGCAGTCGGTATACAATAACGTGTATGGTATGCAATCAAATGAATAATTCCAATAATTGTAGCAAATTCTCACGCAATCAGCTGGTCTGATGCAGTGAAGTTCATAGCGGTGCTATAGTGCGCTATAGCGGTTTAGTGGAGTGGCAGACTGGCCTGGCGCTACAAGATGTCCTCTAGTGTTGCGTTTGGGTGAAGCGGGAATGGCGGCCGCAATAGCGGTCACGCTATTTTGTAAAAGGTGGACGCTATAGCGGCGCTTCTATGTCCTGAAACGTTTTCTGCGTATAAGTTATTTAGGAATGAGGTTAAAGGGTAAATTGGTCTTTTAATATCAAATATTAACAACTGTAAATCCTTCTACATGTACGCAGACCAAAACCTTACTAACAGCCCCATCTTTTGAAAACTCCATCATTCTGTTTGCTATGGGAAGCGATGACTTCTCTTCCAACGCGACAACCTTTTCATTAGTTTCACCTTCTCAACTTTGTTTTTGGTTGCTGCATTTTGAGACATGCCTCAGCTCTATTACTTTTTTGTATTACTACTCTTTCAAGGTCTCGTTCACTACTCTTTCATATAATTGTATATTTGTATTACTTTTTTGGACAATTAATTGATGAAATAGTGTATTGTTCTTACTGCTTCAGATTGACTGCTCTTCGCTAGTTTCCACTTCCTCTTTCCAGAATCGCTGCTTCATCTTTTACACTCTTAAACTAGAACCTTGTTTTTTTATTCAAGATGCTTTAATCATTAATAACATCTTATGTTTTGGTCATGAAACTAAAGACTTACAAGAGTACTTCTAAGTAATTTAGGATATATGAATGTTAAGACTTAAGATGTTTGAGAGCTTCATTGGCATATATCATACTTTTTGAATATGAAATGTCTATGTAGTGTATTATATATGCTTCCAGTAATTAGTAATTACTTATGTATTATATTTGAAAGTAGCCTAAATAGCGGTCATCCCACTATCCGCTATACCGCTATTGCGTTTTTGGGCTCGGCCGCTCTGCTCCGCTATCTGTGATTGACAACATTGGTCTGATGTACACAAAGGGAAATTCATCACCCCTCAAGATGGTGTATTAAGATCACAAATCTCTTTTATGAGCTTGTAATCAAAGTAGTTTTTTCAAGATTGTTTGACTTGTAGGTAATTAAACACTTAGATGAATGACTTTTGTCATTTTAAATAATGAGATAAAAGACTTGGTTTTGCTACTTTCCATGTGTTGAGATGTAACTCGAAGGCCCCTAGCGCTTCAAGTGCGCCTTTTGACTTTGACTACCTTGGGTGCATCACTCGGTCTTTTACGCACATGTCCAAATCACCGCAAACGAGACTATTGCATCTTATGTTCTATAGGTGCTACTCCCATCCTAAAGGTTATCATAGAGTTAAGCTACATAAATGTGGTGAACGTGGATCAAACGCGTGACCTTTAATAACACACTGTAAAAACTAATTAAATGTCAAAACATATACTCTCAAAACCCAATGCAATCAGCAGCACATCAGCCACATGTGCCTTAGTGGGAACCTTTTGCGGCTCCACCTCGTCAGATGCAATATTTTCCCAAACAAAGTATCAATCCATCTCTATGTGCTTTGTGCCTTCGTGAGAAACATGGTTGTTAGTGATACTGTTATAGAGCAGAAAAAATAAATATTGCCCAGAATAATCAACGGCAGGATCCGTTGCCCAAGCTACTTTAGCTAATGAATCTGATTTTTTTAATCATCCTTGAAAAACGCTGCTTAGGGTATACGTAATACCCTGTACAACCAAGTTCTAATAGGATACTAAGTAAACTAAAAAATTGATCACAGCCTTATGTTCCAGCGGAAACAAGACCTGCGCACCAAATCTGGCTTGCGCCCCAAGTCTTAAAGCAGAGTCCTAATGTAATACAAAGAATTACTAAATGAAATAACATAAATGAATCTAATTAAAATTAATATCTCAGCCCATGGATAACCCAGCCCATAACCGGCCCACGGAAGTGGGACCAAACCCGTTCCTGCCCCATACTCTTCCCGCTCTCTATCAGATACGTGAAACAACTTGGATGTCACAATATAGGGCAATAGCACATTGTTGACCTCTTCCACTTTGCTGAAATTCCTAAAACAACTGTTTGTTTTTTGTCCGTCATGAGATAAGTGCACCTCCAAGTGATACATAGTGACCTGCTCAAGAGGGTCTTGTCATTATGCAACCTCTCCAATTTGCCTCACAATAAGTTGTAAGTTGCTTCTCTTGGACTGTTTTAGTCTCAGACCAGACTTCTATAGTTATAAAAACATACTAGACCAGGCCAACAAATTACAGTCCAAAGTAAAAACATCCTAAATCCATGCCCACTCCAGCATTCTTCTCCATCAGGGAGGCACATGTTGAGCATTTCTTCTGATATGTCATGACAAATTTTCTTTCACCAAGTTTAATTCCCTGTTCAAATCTCGCAACTTCAATGTCTAAAAATTATTTGAGAGATCCTAAGTCTTTTATAGTAAAGTTATGGTGAAGAGTTTTTTTGACCGATTTAATCTTCTATACATGATTTCTACCAAGAATCACATTAACAACGTAAATGAGTGCCACACCGAATTTCTCACCTTGTTTAAACCTAATTAGTGAGTGATAACATTTGGACCTGTGGAAACCTACTTGAAACACTACACACGTGAAATTGTGGTACCAATTGGGCGAAACTTGCTTTAAGCCATACAATGACTTTCTTAACTTGCTACTCTCAAATCTGATATTTTTGCAAAATCCTTGTGGTACTTGCATATACGAAAAATGCATTATTGACATCAAACTGATGTAATAATCAATTGCTTTTGCATACACTAGGTGCCCCTAAAATTTTTATATGATTGTTTGAGGGGTTCTAGTTGAAAATTATTTCATAGGGCATTTTTAGCCAATTACCTCTATAGGGAACTTGTTAAATATATACTTCCTCAGTTCCTCCATCCCATAGAAAGGTTCTCACTTTCCTTTTTTGGACATCCCAATTATAGGTTCCCATTTCCATTTTAGGAAATAATTTACAATGATAAATGATAAAGGAAAAATTCACAAGAATAATCCCACCTTTCGCCGGTCTTCTCATAATAATCTCACCTTTAAATAACCCCAAAATAATCCCACCTTTGCACTTCATCTTCTTCCATTGGACCCTAACCAAGTTTTTTTTACCTTTTTTGAGAATCTTATATAAATAATCTTACATTTATAAAGATATAATAAAAAAGTGAAAGGTGAGATCATTTATATGATTTTCAAAAAAAGAGTAAAAAACATGGTCAGGGTCCAATGAAAGAAGATGAGGTGCAAAGGTGGGATTATTTTGGGATTATTTAAAGGTGGGATTATTATGAGAAGACCGGTGAAAGGTGGGATTATTCTTGTGAATTTTTCCAATGATAAATTAATCATTAAATATTAAAAATAATATATTTAGAACATCATAGTTATCAACACTAACCCCATTATATTATATACCTATTAAAATCATGGTAGATTCTATGGTACCCATAAGGTACCATACCTTTGTCCACATGGACCAATGAGAATGTAGAAGTTGAATTATTTAAATCTAAATTAAAAATGATAAAGTGATGTGGTCCAATCAAATGAATGATAGGTACGGCACCCCGTTTTTTAAAAAGGTACTGTAGTTGTCACCTAAAATCATTTTTTAAAATATACTCGAACTATTTTATTTAATTACTGTCTAAATGATCATGCCATTTTTCCATGAGAACCTTTCAACGGGACGGAAGAAATAAGCTGCAGTCAAATCGCACTCTCTATTAAAATGCAAAGGTAGATCCTGTTGAAATCTCAAGGATAGAGCCAACTGGAGTAGGTGTCTGTGATTCCTTTCAACCATCCCATTTTGTTGTTGTGTATTAATCTGTGTTTTTATGAGGTTGCGAAATGTTATCAAATGATGTGGAATTTCTGATTTATTCCTTATCAAGAAAGCCCATTGTGTAAAAAGGCAGCTACAAGAGGGGTTTTGAGGTGTGCCTCAATGTGAGGTTCACACCTCAGAAGTTGAGGCAATTTTTCTTTGGTTCTCTGTTTTTAATGTGCAGCAACTTAAAAAAGGCCAAGGGTATTTCATTTACCAAAAAGCCCAGAGTACTTTTGAAATAGAAGTCCATGTATCAAACATGTGGCCACACTAAACCCTAAAAGACTTATTTCATTTAAACCCCAACAAGTCTTTAATTCATTGAAATCCAAAGTCCCTAATGTGGCCACACTAAACCCTAAAAGTCTTATTTCATATAAACCCCAACAAGTCTTTTATTCATTATAAAACCCAAGTCCCTAACATATAATTTCTATTCATCTTTAAAGTTACCCATCTATTATATTTGAAAGTAGTCTAAATAAATAGTGGTCATCCCGCTATCCGCTATACCGCTAGAGCGTTTTTTGGGCTCGCCGCTACGCTCAGCTATCCGGGATTGACAACACTGGTCTGTACATGTATATATTTATATAATGATAGACAGAAAACTTTCTGTACATGTATGTATTTATATATGAGCAACGAGCTCAAAGAGTTGCATAAATCATGCTAAATACAATAATACCCAAGTAACCGAGCTCAAAAAGGAAAGAACTCAGCTGGCTTGCAATGATGTCTTTGGTACGCAATTAACAGAACAATTCCAATAATTGCGGCAAATCCTCACACAATCAGCTGGTCCTATGTACATGAAAACAAGGAAATTCATCAGCCTTATCCTCAAATTTTGTTTTAAAATAATTTCAGGGAGCCAATGTGGAGTTTGTTAAGCATGTGAAAGCTAATTTCTGGTGTTGTGCTGGTCATTGCTTTTGGATTACATTTTTTGCAAGGGATTTGTCATCAAATTCAGACCCAAAACTTTACCAAACTAAGGTGTGGAGATTTATGGGTAAGATTGAGGTTTGTATATTCAGGGAAAGGCCCACAGACGAAGGTATGTGACTTTTGTTGCATCAATCCCTTTGCACTATTCATTTCTAATGAATTGCTGTCTCGTCCAGCATTTCTTATTAACTCTGAATCTTGACTACACTACCTTGTTTTTACCTAACCCAATGATGTGTTGAGTACACGACTTCATGCTCTGAAAACTCTGTTATTTCCATTTTAGCTTTTTCATTATGTGGTCCGAGTAATTTCTTTAGTACTACATCTACTTGTCTGTTCAGCCATCTGAAAAGATCCATGTCTGAAGTCATTGTTGTGAGTTTGGCATTGTATTAGTTGAATTGTTGCAGCAGGAATAATTGATTTATGAATCTCTGATTTTTCAAATCTTCATAAACATAACATATACTCCCTCCATTCTCCTAATAGATGGCTCTATAGCCTTTGGCACAAGATCTAAGAAGAAATTAATAAGGGTAATATAAAAGGTATAGTGGGTTATGTGTAAAGGAAAAACAGGAAGTCAGGAAGTCATGTATTAGAGAACATCCCAAGATGGAAAGAGAGACATGTATTAGAGAACGGAGGGAGTACTACATACGTATACAATTTTATATACTAACAGTATTAGAGATGGGAAAGGAGTCTACTATGTTATAATCTTGAGGACTGGTTGAGTCCTAATAATTAGCCCAAATCCCAAGCATATGGTTTCTAACGAGGATGATAAGTCTGGAAAGAATAGAAGAGTAAGCCAAGATAATTACTGCTCAATAATATTAGATATATAAGGCTGGGTGCTCTGGTTCGATCATGATTTTGGTTTAAATCTCATTAATAACTTCCTCTTCCCCACACTTCTGTAAAATCTTAAACATCTTAGTTTTCTTATGCTTGCGATTTTTCCTTGACTCAGAAATTGCTTCTGTGCACGTGGAGATTAACGAATATGAGTGCTTCAAGTGAGCTAGGTATTGTTTCTTGTTTCAAGAATACTGAGATGTTGGATGTGTTGGGGTGGGGGCATCAGACAATCTTCTGCATTATTGAATATCTGCCGCTTAAGGAAAGACATGATAGGCTAACTTAATGTTTTTGTAATCTTTGATGCATAATAAATATAGGTAAATCCAAGCATTGTCACGTTGACTGGGCTGAAGAGGCCAGAACCTGTAGAAGTTGATTGCTAATGGAGTAATGGTGTTAAAGGCTGTAATATTAATAATTATTATTGTTATAATTATTATAATCATAATTATGTTACATTAGTTATCTAACGCTCCGCCACTGGAAGAAATCAGTTACATCTTGTGCTCTGACAGAATATAGGGCATTTTTAATTCCACGAGAAATAAGATACTCCTGTGTCCTTTATACACACTAACCGGAGGATCGCATATCGAAGATACGACTTGACTTTGGCAATCACTCAAATTCTTGTATACTCCAATAAGATCTCCCTTCCTGAATAGGCATGGCCGGTTCCAGTTCCGGGCCAAACCGGGCCGGGCCAAACCGGTCCATATTTTTTATTTTTTTTAATTTTGGTTCTTTTATTTAATCCCCTACCCCTCCCCCTCAACCCCAAATCACCCCAAACCACCTCAAATAGCCCATAATACCTAATCCAACCCAAAAATTAAAATCCGGCCCGGACAGGGCCCGAACCAGCCGGGCTGGTTCACCTAAAGCAGGGCCCGAGCCCGGACCGCCCATCACCAGGGCCGGGCCAAACCGAACCGTTGGACCCACCGGGGCTCGGGCCGGGCCAAATAGTAACCGGGCTGGGCCGGTTCCGGGTCGGGCCGCCCGGCCCGAGTCCACCCCTATTCCTGACAACAAAGAAACTGTCTCTGTCTTCATTCATTATTGGAGGAGTAGCAAGAGCAGGAGCAGACTTCTTAGATCGAGTGTTCTTTCGCCGAGGCCCTTTAGATGAAATGATGAATACAACCTAAGGTGCTGTTCTGTTCGTCTTATTCTTATTACTTATTGCTTATTCTTATTTTATTCAGATCAGATCAGATCAGAAAAATTCAGATCAGATCAGATCAGAAAAATTCAGACCAGATCAGATCAGATCAGAAAGATTCAGATCAGATCAGATCAGAAAGATTCAGATCAGATCAGAAAGATTCAGATCAGATCAGAAACATTCAGATCAGATCAGAAACATTCAGATCAGATCAGAAAAGTCCAAACATGATTTATCACTTTTATTATTATATTAAATATTAATTATTATTATTATTATTATTATTATTAATATTGTTATTACTATTATGATTATTATTATATAATTATTATTAATAATATTAATAATAATATGATAAAAAAGATATTAATAATAGTTATAATATTTTACTATAATAATAGTAATATAAATGCAATTGTTAAGAAGACTATTATTATTACAACATAATAATAATAATAATATGATTAATATTATTATAATATTATATTATAATTATATGTAATTATAATTATAATTATAATTACAATTATAATTCTTATAATTATAAGTATAATCAATTGTAATTATTATAATTATATCTATAATTAATTATATTTATAATTGTAATTAATTATAATTATAATAATTATAATTACAATCATAATTATAATTATGATTATGATTATAATTATAATATAATATTATAATAATATAATACTAATTATAATAATAATCATATTATTATTATTATATTATTGTAATAATAATATTAATATAATAATATCGTTATAATAATATTAATTGTATTTATATTACTATTATTATATTATAATATTATAATTAATGGTAATATAATTATAATTATTATTAATTATAATTATAATAATTATAATTATACTTATAATTATAATTTATGATTATAATTATTATTTTTATAATTATTATTATTATTATTATTATTATTATTATTATTATTATTACTATTGTTATTATTTTACGGAGTAATTATAATAATATTGATAACTATAGTTACAATTATAGAGATAAATATTGTAATTATAATTACAATTATAATTATAATTTTATTTAAATTATATTTGTAATTGCAATTATAATAATTATAATTATAATTATAATCATAGAAATATTTGAATCAGATCAGATCAAAATGATTCAGATCAGATCAGAAGGATTCAGATCAGATCAGACCAGACCAGATCAGAAACATTCAGATCAGATCAGAAAGATTCAGATCAGATCAGATCAGATCAGAAAGATTCAGATCAGATCAGATCAGAAAGATTCAGATCAGATCAGATCAGATCAGATCAGATCAGAAAAATTCAGATCAGATCAGATCAGAACTTAAAAAATTCAGATCAGAAACATTCAGATCAGGCGAAGAGAACATCTTCGAACACTAACACTTTTCAAAAACCAGTTGAAATTAACTCTTCCAACTCCAACATTATTGACACTAGCATTCCACGGACAAACTGATAAGTTGCAAAATGAACTCGCCCCTATCAGATTTGTTGTGTTTGATGATCTAGCAGCAGAACTTGCATGAAACAAGCTGTTCATTAGCTGTAACCCCCCTCGGACTCCACTAATTTCTTTGCCTTGACGGATGCCGGAGGTCAATCTGCATCCAATAATTGGCAGAACCTAATTACCTAAGGCCTAATCCCGTCGGACTTGTCGCTTGTGAGAGCACAGGTGTGGATGTGCAGAATCTGGTAGCAACGACAGAGGTGCTCCGGAAAAAGCAAGACAGATACAGGGAGGGCAGAAATTAAACCTCTCCGGAGAGGAGCGTTCGCTGTCAACTGCATCCGCTATACTACAATACATTTGTGTGCATTTAAATCTTATGTCAAACACTGTTCCTAACTGATCACTCCGTCTATTATGAGGCCGTTTGGCAACACTGTTTTTTGGGTTATCAGGCTTATCAACCAATTTTTTTTTATTAAATACGTATTTTTTTGGTTAGAGTTACTTTTCTGGCAGTATTGTCTGAAGTTACTATTGGCTGAAGTTACTGTAGATGACTATTTTAGCTATTTTTACATATAATTTTTTCTTTATTTTATTCATAAATATATTTTAAAAATATTTTTTCTTAAATCAGCAGAATCAATCAAAACAGCCGATTTTGGTGCTACCAAATGACAGAACTCTATACATTTGTACTGTTGTAATTGTGCTGCTGTACGGTACCTGCTTCTGCTAGTATTATGGTTTATGAATCTTCTAATAATGCGATAAACTTAATAAACTTAAATTTCAATAATTTATCACTAAAAGTAGCTATTTTAATCTATCATTAATAGTTTCAACGCCATTGATAAATATATCAATAAATATATTAGTACTAGTGTTTGCCTCGCAAAAAAGTTAGTTTTTAGAATAAAATTAGTCACTCCAATTTTAAATGACCAATTTGCCACATTATGAAGATGTAGTTTTAACTTTTAAGTCACTATTTCTGCAAACCTAAGCAACTTTCTAGAAGCATATTAAACACTAAAGTTATTTTTAGAGCAAATAAATCAATATTTAAGCTTTTGAGGGCATTATAGCCACCCACTCACGGATGTAATTACCCCCGTTTGTTTTCACCTGTTTCTTTTATACAGAGCACTTTACGTTTATTGATACGGAATATGTGATTAGCTGTAATCCAAAATGAGATACTTTCATTTTGGCTTGCTTCTTGCCGATGCCTTAGCTCATCCAAATTTGCATTTATCATTTAGTTCTCTTGTGTTAAACAAACACGTAATACACTTGCTCTAAAAAACATAATACACTTGCAATTGTTTATTTTTGTATACCATACTTTAAAGGAAAAATTGAAAATAATAATCCCAACTATTGCCGATCCGCTGAAAATAATCCCAACTATTGATTATTTTTGTATAATCCCAACTATATAAACTATCCGCCAATAATGGTCCATGACCATATATTACCACTATAAAAAGTGAATTTTAAATAGAAATTAAGCGTAAAAATTAAAAGTTGAGATTATTTATAGGGATTACTTGTTATATCTCATCTCATCCACTTTAGAAACTACAAGAATTTATTCACAGGGACCATTATTGGCGGAAGGTCCCTAAAGTTGGGATTATTCTGTAATAATCAATAGTTGGGATTATTATGAGCGGACCGCCAATAGTTGGGATTGTTACTATCAATTTTTCCTACTTTAAATTATTTTTTTCCTTTCACGAACTACATAGTTGTACTAGGACCGATAGGATGTTGTTAAATTTATTACAATGTAATATAATAAATATTGTTTTATTATTTGACTAGATTTTATTAATAGCTAGTCAAATATGATATTTAATAGTTTGTCATACATAAGCTAATACACTCAAATTAAATATAATTTTATTTTAGCAAAGAGAATATTTCTTACAATGTGGTCGTAATTAATATCATTAGCGGCTACAATATTTTGGTCCCAATTTGTGCTAGTGACTGACGGGGGCGGAGCTAGAGAGGGCCAATCTAGGCTTAGGTCCACCCAATTAAAAAATGCCTTAATTTTAAGGTAGAAAATTATGTGTAATTTTTTTCAAATATACTTTTAGTACTGGCTCAGCCCGGTCTAGTGTCTTGCCTCCGCCCCATGAGCCGATTGACTTCTTTTCTGATTGTAAAAATGTCTTCTGAGGTGAGGGTAACAACAACATACACACGACCAAAGTTTGTGATCGCAAATACTCTTTAGAGCCATTCTTTAAGCATGGGTGGATTTAGGGGGCAACAAAGGCCTTAGCCTATTCCAAATTTAAAAAAAAATGTCTTAATCTTAAGGTAAAAAATTCCATGTAATTTCTCCCCCAAAAAATTCTTTGTACCGGTCACATTTGTTAGTGTATTTCAAAAGTGATTCACTTTAGTTTTAGTCAAATCTTTTTCTAATATTTACGCTTTTGTCACCATATTTCACACTTAAAAATTGATCTAATGCACTTATTACTCACACTAGTGGAAAATCGTTGATTTGCGGCAATGGATATGCGGCGGTTTTGAAATAACCGCCACAGATTAATAATAATAAAACATTTGTGTCACGCGCGGCGGTTTTCAAGTAAAAACCGCCGCAAATATTTTAATTTTCTTTTAATTTGTAATTGAAATGAAATACATGCGGCGGTTATTAGTTTAGGAACCGCCGCTTATATATTGAAATAAACTTTTCTACACGCGCGGCGCTTATTAGCGTAACAACCGCCGCAAATAATATTGATTTATGTAAAAAGCATTCAAAAAAATGTAAAAAGCATTCACATGCGTGACGGTTTCTACACTAAGAACCGCTGCAAATGATTAAAACACTTTAAAGCGGCATCTGGGTTTCTCAGTTCCGTTCGTGACCGGCAAACAAGAATGAAGAACCCTAGCTATAGGATGGTAAATCTCTTCCGCCTGAAGCTATGGAAAATCTTGACATCGTGTATGTTCTTCCGGGCAAGTAGCTAGGTCGCCGGTGCATTGCAGAAGGACTTTTGATCGAATGGATCGTCAAAGCTCCGGTGTAGATCTGGGCCGTACTTGCTGACATGCTTCAGAAGCTCCGGTGTAGATCTGGGCCGTACTTGCTGACATGCTTCAGAAGCTCCAGTGTAGATCTGGAGGCAAGGTAAGGCATCTTTGATTTTAATTTTTGTTAAACGTACATGGAGTATATGCTTCCTTGATTTTCAATTTTTGTTTGGGTTAAATGACTATATAGCTTAAATAAATATGATAGGGCAAATTAATAACCTATATTATGTTTTTTTAAGTGCATAGCACTTTTGTAGCTAATTTGAGGTTACTAATAGAATTATAATAGGACTACTATTGTACTATACATTAAACTCTACTAGTATAAATATATCTGCCAGGGCTCCTTAGAGGGCATCCTGTTTCATTATTTCACATGGTATCAAGAGCACATCTAAATACCTAAAATTTTTTTCGGCATTCTCTCTCTCTATTCTCTGTGCCGATAGATGTCATCCTCGACATCTGCCTCTTCCGCCGTAATCGGCAGCTCAGCCGCGACCTCCACGCCGGCTTCTCTCACCACCACCATGTCTTCCGCAGCATCCAGTACGTCGTCGACTCTTGGCGCTCCAATTTCTTTTGGATCGCTGCCAGCTTTCAGTTCCATTCCGTCCGGCGTATCCTTCTCTTCCCACTTTGCTTCCCCAAGTCGGTCTGCTGGGATATATTCTACTTTTCCGAACATGCCGCCAGTCTTCTCTTGGCCAACACCAACTCCGGTGCAGCAGGTTACCTTGGATCCGCCTCCATTCTCGGCTGGGTCATTCGCAGGCACCACTTTTGTTGGATCTCCAGGGGTATCGTCCACTTTACCACCTCCTCGGACTCCCGTTGGCAGCCCTACAACATCCTTCTTGACAGAACTCGGAGCAACTATTTCTCATGTGGCCACCAATGTCACAAATATTGTCACTACCAAGCTTCTTGCGGTTGAAGATTATACTACATGGAGGACCCAGTTTGAATCTTTTCTTGTGTCTCAAGCTCTTCTCGGTATGGTAGATGGGTCTATTCAGGTACCTCCTCCTTATTCCATGGATGTTCTAAACCGTCAAACTCCCAATCCCGAATTTTCAATTTGGTTACGAATTGATCAAACCATTCGTTCTTGGTTATTTGCCACTTTGTCTCGCGATATTCTTATTGATGTTCGGGATTTAAAACATTCTTATCAAATTTGGGAGCGGTTAGAATCTCGATTTATGTCGGCTAGTTTAGCTAGATCTATGGAATTAAAGAGGTTGTTTTCCCAAATTAAAAAGAAGCCTGAACAGTCCATGGATAATTATTTAAGGGAGATTAAATCTCTATTTGATGATCTTGCTACTATTAATTGCCCTGTATCGTCGCGAGAGCTACTTAAGACTACCATTATGGGATTGGGTCCGGAGTATGAATCCTTATTTACTACTGTCTCATTGTTTCCTGAAAATTTCCCGTTTGAGACACTCCGTAATCATCTCCTTGAGCAAGAACAACGAGTTCTATACCTCCGCTCCCTGGACTCTACTTCAGTGCATCAGGCGTTTGCAGCTTCCTCTACTCACCCGGGTTCACAGGCTGGAACGCAGCAGCATACCTCCCAGCAAACTCCACAGCACTCTGCCGGACAACAGCAACACCGCTACTCGAATCAGCAGCAGCAACAACCGCGTGGCCGCGGGCGAGGGCGAGGTCGAGGCCGCGGGGGACGGGGTCGCGGACGTGGCCAGCAGGCGCAATACATGCCGCCCGGACAGTTTGGTTACCCGCAGCAGTTTGGGTATCCTCCTTCAGGCCCTCACTTTTATACTCCCGGAGGGGGTGTTCCGCAGGCTCCACATGCAGGGGGTGTGACCTCTACGGGTACTGTTATTTGTAATTCTGCTTTGTCACATTTAAATATTAATGCTTTATCTGCTTCGACTACTAACTCTAGTTCCGCAGGCTCATCATCAGACGGGGGTATTCTTGGGTCCGTTCCCCATCCTGTTATGTGTCAAATTTGTTTTTCTGCAGGTCATTCAGCCATCACTTGCCCTTCTCGGTTTTCTCAGCCATCTGCGCCAGCTATGTTGACAACTCCTGGGGAAACTAATCCCGCCTTATGGTATCCGGATTCCGGCGCTTCTGCTCATATGACAGCATCTGAAGGTAACTTATTTAATAAATCTGTTTACAATGGCTACAATTCGGTTAGTGTTGCTAATGGTGCCCATTTATCCATTTGTCATATTGGTGATGTTGCATTACCTTCATCTGGTCGTCCTCTTACATTAAAATCTGTATATCATGTACCTCAGTTAAAATATAACTTAATTTCAATTCAGCGGCTTTGCGCAGATAATAACTGTACTGTCATTTTTGATAAAAATTCCTTTTTGATTAAGGACAAAGCATCGGGGGCGGTGCTTCTACGAGCTACCAGTAGTGGACCACTCTATCCTATCCAGTTGCCATCATCTTCATCCTTAGCTTTCGCTTCTATATTAGCATCTGGCCCTGTGTGGCACCGTAGACTAGGTCATTGTGGTGACAGTATTTTACAGTTTCTCAAACGCAAACAATTTTTATGTAGTCATTCTCCGTTCACTCATGAGTGTGTGGCTTGTCGTTTAGGAAAATCACAACGTTTGCCCTTTATGGATGCTAGTCATTATTCTTCTGCTCCTCTTCAAATTATTCATTCTGATGTATGGCAATCTCCTGTTATTTCTAATTTGGGATTCAAATATTATGTCTGTTTTATTGATGATTATTCTCGTTTTACATGGATTTATCCCATGCGCCTTAAAACTGAAGTTTTTATGCACTTTAAAAATTTTAAAGCTTTGGTTGAAAATCTTTTTAATCAGAAAATTAAAATTTTTCAAAGTGATGGAGGTGGTGAATTTGTTAATCATACTATGCAGCAATTTTTCTCATTACATGGTATTTATTTTCAAAAATCGTGTCCTGACACACCTCAGCAAAATGGGGTTGCTGAGCGTAAACACCGCCATCTCCTCGAATTGACTCGCACTATGCTACTCGAGTCCTCTATGCCGAGTCAATATTGGGTAGATGCTCTGTTTACTGCTGCATATATTATTAATAGGTTACCCTCTCCTACATTAAATGGTTTTTCTCCATACCAAAGACTTTTTCATCGTGTGCCTAACTATTCATTTATGCGAGTCTTTGGCTCGGCATGCTATCCCAATTTTTCCGCCACTTCTGCTAATAAACTTTCCCCCCGATCCATTCAATGCGTTTTTCTTGGCTATGCATCTGGTTACAAGGGTTATCGTTGTTTTGATCCTATCACCGGCCGCGTCTATGTTAGTCGCCATGTTAGGTTCCATGAGGATATTTTTCCCTTCCAATCCCTTCAAAAGACTCGTCCTCTACCCACATCTCAGTCCACATCGTTTCCGTTATCATTTACCAATCCCAGTGTCGAACCTACTGCCCTACCCTCGGCCGGTCATCACTCCCAGTCATCTCGCCTCATCCCAGTTTTCTCTTCCTCTTTGCCACCAAGTTCCATTCCATCCCATGATATTCCTAGTAGCCAGCCATCTGAACCCGAGAGCTCTTCCTCCCCTACCTCTTCGGTCTGTCCATCCACTCCCCACACAACTGTTGGACCGGTCCTTACCCACCAGGCCGAGACTCCTTCGAGTACTCCTTCCCAGCCCACTGACTTCCAGCCTACGTTTGTCCAGACCGAACCCATTTCTTCATCGCCCCCCTCCCCAGTTGTGACCACTACGGTTGGCAATCAGCACCCCATGCAAACCCGTGCCAAGTCCGGAATTTTTAAACCCAAAACTATTTTTACTTTAAGTACAGTTGTGACTTCTGCAGATCCTACTTGTTTTACTGAGGCTAATAAACATTTAAAATGGAGGGAGGCAATGGCTGATGAATTTAATGCACTCATTAATAATAACACTTGGGATCTGGTGCCCTTTGACAATACTAAGAACATTGTAGGCTGTAAGTGGATTTATAAAACAAAATACCATTCAGACGGGTCCGTTGAGCGCCATAAGGCCCGATTAGTTGCTCAAGGTTTTAATCAACAGGCTGGTATTGATTTTTCTGAAACATTTAGTCCAGTCATTAAACCTACTACCGTTCGCATTGTTCTCACTTTGGCTGTCTCTTTTCGTTGGATTATTCGGCAACTTGATGTCAAAAATGCCTTTTTACATGGTCACTTAACAGAGGAAGTGTATATGCGTCAACCCCGTGGCTTTATTCATCCTAATTTTCCTAATCATATGTGTCGTTTGCGAAAGGCTATTTATGGCCTTAAGCAAGCCCCACGGGCATGGTTCCATAGGTTTAGTAGTTTTTTGCTTCAGCATAATTTTTCATGTAGTAAGTCTGATAATTCACTTTTCATCTATCGCCAGAATAATAGTATTATATATTTATTATTATATGTAGATGATATTATTATTACTGGCAATTCTGAGTCCATCATTACCCAGTTTATCTCCATTATTTCTAATCATTTTGCCATGAAAGATTTGGGTAATTTACACTATTTCTTGGGAATTGAGGCATCTCGCACTTCAAAAGGTCTGTTTCTCTCTCAGAATAAATATGTCACAGATCTCCTGGCTCGATTTCATCTTCATACGGTCAAACCTGTACGCACTCCCTTAGCCACTCGCACTACACTATCTCTTTCTGATGGTGAGTTACTTATGGACTCTACTGAGTATCGTAGCATGGTAGGTGCGTTACAGTATTTAACTTTGACACGGCCAGATATTACTTATGCAGTGCACTTAGTGTCTCAGTTCATGCATGCACCCCGTACTACTCATCTATTTGCAGTCAAAAGAATTTTCAGGTACTTGCAAGGAACACGTGATCATGGCCTGTGGTTACAACATACCGATCGTCCTACGTGCATGTTAGCCTACTCAGATGCCGATTGGGCCGGATGTCCTGATAGTTCGCGCTCCACCACAGGTTTTGCTGTCTTTTTAGGTCCCAATTTAATTTCGTGGAAGTCTAAAAAGCAGCCTACAGTATCCAAGTCCTCCACAGAAGCTGAGTATCGTGCTATTGCTTACACCGTTCAAGATACACTTCATGTTCGCTCTGTCCTGTTCGAACTCGGCTATCCCATTACCGCACCTGTTCATCTTTTGTGTGATAATATTTCAGCTTCATATTTGACTGCAAATCCGGTTCAGCACGCAAGAAGTAAACATATTCAGATTGATTATCATTTTGTCCGTGAGCGAGTTGCTCATGGAGATCTGGTTGTTAGACATGTCCCTACACATTTACAGTTGGCAGATATTTTTACTAAAAGTCTTCCTAGTCAACGTTTTCATTTTTTGAAAGACAACCTGCGCGTTGTTTCTCCCGCACAGATTGAGGGGGTGTAATAGAATTATAATAGGACTACTATTGTACTATACATTAAACTCTACTAGTATAAATATATCTGCCAGGGCTCCTTAGAGGGCATCCTGTTTCATTATTTCACAGTTACGTGATTTTAGCTCTTTATGAACGTGTGTGTTTTTTATTCAATTGAATGAGTTAGTTATGATATTTATTTAATTTATACAAATGTATGACATAAATTTAATTGTACATATTTAAAGTTGTATATACACCCAAATATTCCTTTTTGTTTTTCATTTTTTCGTGTGTGTGTATATATTTTTTTTGGAAAGGGTGTGTGTGTTATATAAAAATCCGTGTGTGTGTATCTTGTTATCAAAATTCATACGAAGTATATGGCATGTGTTCCCAGTAACTGCCTATTATTCATGATGAAAGACGGTGGGGGGCTGGCGGCAGCTGGAGAAAAGGGAGAAGAGGCGGCCGTGCTTTGTTGGAGGGGCTGTTGAAGGTTCAAAAGAAGATGAAGAACGAGATCCATGGAAAGTGACGAAATATCGGTATCCAATGGGGTCATGGGGAGATCTCCTCACTTGTGAACTTGAGATTAACTTTGTTATTGTTGGGGTAAATCACGTAGGGGGTGATAATTTGAGTACTTGGATTGCTTAAGGATCGTGTAAGTTCACTTTCCGAATTGATATTTCTCCCCTATGCCTGGGTTACAAGAAATTCAATCTAGGATAATCCTTAAGGACACTCTAGAACTTAGGCACAAGAACTAGAGCCAAACTAGTGAGTATATGGATTGCTATCTTTAATTTGAGTGCCAAAGTGATGAAGATATGTTGGATATTGATCCTCTTCTTCCTCTGTACGAAATATGGTGGTATCTGTCAATATTCATCGTCCTAGGCAGTAGTAACACGATTAAGAATAACCGCAGCAGTTTTTGGGAAACTGCTGGAAACTGCCTAACCGTTCTAGAACTCGGTCTAGAACCACAGAGCTGGTCTACTGAAAGTTATACCTCGAGTTCTACCTCGAGTTCCACTAACGTAGACACTTTGGAACTAAACTAGTTCTTATATACAAGTGTGCACTCCACACCTACTAACTTGTATTAGATCATAGTTCTAATTCCCATTGGCACTCATGTCATTTCCAATTACACAAAATGGCCGGTGACACTAAAATCACCAACAATCCTCCCCCATTTTAGTGTAACCCATGAAATGACATAACAAAGCTTACAAACCAAAACTTGCACATAAATGGAAATGTTGATACGATTGAATTTCCATCTTAGTATTTTACACATTCAAAATATTCGAGAATCGGGGTGTCCTACGGATTGAACCCTTCAACCCATTTGAATACCTCAAGATAAAATACATACAAGTTTCAATACTCAACTAGAATACAAACTTGACACAATTATAAAGCCGTGTGTCCTAATCCCATTCATGACCGTATAAAAGCCAAGTCCCAAGCCTTTTGAAGTGCGGCTACACTTCACGATCATATAGGTAATTCCTTTACTCGTGTACCTGCTTACACTTTATCAAAGGAATTATTAAGAAATAAATTCAGCCTCCCTACTACAGGTCCGAACACACATCTTGGGATGATTTTCATTGTGTGTTCCAATCCATTAAGTGTGAGCTTTCCACATTGAATTCAGCCTCTAACGTTGTATTAGAGGGGAATTGGGTGTCTCACCATTAAGGATTAAATGGACTTTAAACCCATCCCTATAACAGACTTGTGCACTAAGTCCCGGGCCAAACTTTTGGTCAAGTGGTCCGCCAAGTTATGTTGCGATCTTACAAATTCCACCGAAATTACACCATTCATGATTAGTTCTCTAATCATACTATGTCTAACACCTAAGTGTCTAGACTTGCCATTATAAACATGACTATACGCCTTAGCCAAAGTGGCAGCACTATCACAATGGATAGAAATAGGTGCAATCGGCTTCCCCCACAATGGAATCTCAAAAATTAAATTTCTTAACCACTCCGCCTCTTTACCGGCGGTAGCCAACGCAACAAACTCAGATTCCATCGTTGAACTTGTGATACAAGTTTGCTTCTTGGATGCCCAAGAAATGGCACCTCCCCCAAGCAAAAATACCCAACCAC